TTGAAAGCCGAGATGTGGGGTACGGAGGTATCGAACCCTGTGGGGCTGGCAGCAGGGTTCGACAAGCACGGCGAAGCTATTGATGGTTTGTGTCCCATCCGCGCCTGCATTCCGAAGTAAACGGTCAATGTGCAGGGTTGTTCAACCTCGGCTTCAGTTGGGTAGAGATTGGCAGCGTAACGCCAAAGCCTCAGGTGAGTCGGGCAGTCTACTCTATGCTCTCCGTTTTCTGAGGGGCGTAATGAAAAGGCTGGAAATCCACAGCCCCGAGTCTTCCACCTCCCCGAAGATGAAGGGCTCATCAACCGCTATGGGTTCCCGTCCGATGGCCACGCTTCCGTCATCTCACGCCTGCGCGCCAGAATACCGCGCTTCTCGCCGGAATCCGATAACGCAGCATACAGGCCTGAGTCCCTACTCGCAGTGAACTTGGGCAAGAACAAGGAGAGCGAGGTGGATTCGATTGAGGATTTTGTGGCTGGCGTGCGGGCATTTGGCCCTTACTCGGATGTCCTGGTCGTCAACGTGTCGAGTCCAAATACACCCGGTCTCAGGTACGTGCTTGTGTTGTCTCATGAATTCGGAGCTTCAACCACGCTAGAGGGCTGCAAAACAGAGAACAGCTGGAGTCGCTCCTTGATGGAGTGACGAAGGCGCGGGCTGAGCTGGCGGGTGGCCGGAAACCCAAGCTGATGCTCAAGATTGCGCCGGACCAGAGAGTGTCAACTTCTGTCTTGCCAAATAAGGTATTACTCGGAACGCCACGACTTTCGCATGGAACATTGCACCGTTCATTTCACAGACTAAGTAAGAACCCCCTTTGGTCTTTCGAACTACAATCATGGGCCCAAGATATCTAGCTTTCATCTTGTTGTCCAATGATTTTTCAATAGCTGTGTTCCTGACCAACACTAAGTCCCCTGGTACAAACTTGTAATCTTTGATCACATGCTTGTACTCGAGTTCGTAGCGTTGAACCATCTTTAGTTTGGCGTCGCTGACGCGGCTGCGCATATCTTCAATGTGGTCGGCGTGTTTCGCTAGAGCGCGTGCCCTGAGACCAATGAGATCCGCAGAGTCGACGACCCGGTCAGGATATTCGACTAGCCACGTAGCTTCGACTATATCCAGAGGGATGGTAGGGTGGGCCCCACATACTGCGAAGTATGGTGAACAACCCAACCCACGACGCACTGTAATTCTATCTGCCCACAAGACTTGTGGGAAGAACCAAAACCATTTGGAGGCGTTTCCCCCAGTAGCTTTGTACAGTGACTGCCGAATGTCCCAGTGACCTCTTTCAACAGTGCCATTCGCTTGGGAATTGTAAGGAGATATCCTTATTCCTTTGATACCATATTTCTTCTGTAACCAGTTCAACGCCGCGACAAATTGTCCTGCGTTGTCGGTTACGATCCACTTAGGACACCCCAGCGACACACTATGTCTTCGAGTAAGAAACGCGCTATTGCCTTGGCGTTGTCAGCCTGTAGCGGTCGCGCTTCCACGTAGCGGGTCAGGAATCCC